CACCTCTGGCTGCGGCTCCGGGGGGGAACTTTGCCCGGGGCCTCTGGCTGGAGGAGCTGGGTACCGCGCGGTTCACACCGGTTCCCGGGAAAAGGCAGCTCAGAGGCCAGCCGGCCGGGCGCTCGGTGGGGGCAGGGAGCCCAGCCGCTCTGGCTCCGATCGATCGGGGTGATCCCCAGTTTTGTGTGGGATGCCGCGTCTTCCTCCCAGAGAAGGAGTCTGACCTGATCCTGCGGGGCCCAGCGGGCGGGTAGCCCTGGGATGCCGCCGCTTTCCGGAAGGGGCAGCGAGGCTGCTCCAAGTAGCAGGGCGCCAAGTTGGGAAGGAGCGAAGGAAGGCGAGCCAGGGACTGGGTGGCGCGTGGGCCGGTGCATCTCCACTGCAACTTGATCTGGGCACTCTGGCCAGCCCGGGGACACACCGGCAGATGTCCTGACCCGGGCATTTAAAAAATTCCAGGTTTGTGAGTCTGCAACTCAAAGTCTGTATCGCGTTTTACGACCTTTGGAAGGAGCTTCACACATTGCAGATGGCAGTGGGGAGGGCTGAGCCCTGCTGAGCACCTGCCTGTGCAGGATGGATCCCACCCGGACTGCCTCGCCTGCCTTTAAGGCGGTTGTAGTGGTTACGGGCTGCTAATTCGCATGGCCGATTATGAGTAACCAGGAATTCTAGTGTGTGACACAGCAAATGCGTCTGTTTTCGGAAGTCCTTAGAATTTCAGGCAAAGGAAAAGTTCCCAGGTACTTTTGAGTAAGAGCAATGGGAGTTAGAGAGTGAGAACTGTCCGCGCACTTTTCACAGGGCCCCGGCCAGCTGGGAGTCACCAGAACGCGGCTGTCTCTTCATAATGCTCTCTTATCTTCTGATAATGTCCTGGTCAAACATGTGTAGACTCCGGCAGAATCCACTGGGTGGTCTTTTCCCTAGAAATAGAAATATGTGCAGGCATTACCTTGCCCTTCTGTTTTCATAAGGAAAAGAAAGAGACAGGACTGGCATCTTTGCAGGAGTACCCCTGAAGGTGGTAATGCAACTCAACAGAATTTGTGAGATTTTATCCCTTTAGTGAATTTGTTTAAAAATGAAGCATGTCCGTCCCTCACACCCCTCCTTCCCAATTGTCTACCTGGAGAAGTTTTTGTAGTCTCTGGCGTATTAAGAACAGAGTTTAAAATTCAGTAACTACCATTCATGATGGATTTTAATGTTTTAGTCAAAACAAAAGATTTTATAGACACACCAACAATCTTGCTTTGTGTATGCCTTCATCCTTTTTTGATTATCTAAAACTTTTAGCTTATATTTCTTAATACATGAAATTCTTGTAAGAGCCTTGAAACTTTCTATTTGTGATTTTAAATGCAGAGCAAATATTTAATTCTTGCTCTAAGAGCAAGAGGTTAGTTCAGTAATAAGACTTGCTAATCCCACTTTAAAATGTCATGGCATTCACAAATTATTCCTAAATTCTTCAAAGATAGGGGTTTATAATGAGTTTGCTTATTCTGTTGTGTGTTTTAGGATTGCCTGTCTCTTCTTATTTTTTTCTTAACAATCTTGCCTTTTTTTTTTACATGAATTTTAATATTCCTCTTACTCAAAGTACTATTTTTCCTAGTAGAAAATATACTTTATTTTAAAAAGAATATATTTATGTAGTTCCTTTGAGTAAAACAAATATATTTTTACAATTACTACTCAATTTATATGAAAAAAGTATCTATATACTAATGACTGTGCCAGTGCTTATAAATTTGGAAAATATATTAGGATCTTGTGCCAATAATGTATTAATGTTAACCACCCATAGACAGAATATCGACCCTAATGAGGGTTGCTTGATTACTTAAAATAAAGCAGAGAAGTTTATGGTAGAATTGTGACTATTTTTCCATATTGAATCATTTTGGATGGCTGTGTTTATTTTCCAGGAAGAACTGTTTTAGGTCAATCATAGAAGCTTTTCTTGCTATAATCCAGTAGGCGTGTCAGGAGTCTTTGGTTGGAAAAGGGAACCTGCTTTATTAGGGTGAAGACAAAGGAACAGGAGGATGCTTATCTTTGAATAGAAGAAAGCACCTAAATAGAGTGAAAAGTTTCAAATTGATTCCAAAAGAAAACCTAGCTAGACAGTAATAATAATAATCCAGTTACCAACTTCAAGCTAGCCCTGCTTGGCTTTGCTTCTGGTAGCCAAGAGTCATTCTTCTCTTTGTAAAGACTCAAGCAAGTAAGAGACCAGGCAAAAGTGAATGGCTGTCACTGGGAGTAGAATGACCTGTCAGAAATACTTGATCAACTTTGGGCTTGATGTACAAAAAGCGACGTTGTTGCCATAGCTGTGAAAGTATGTTTGGAAATGCTCAAGTGTGTTCTACCTAGGAAGGAACTGGGAAAGAAGTCCAGACGACGGTCACAGTCCCACATAAAAGCACCCCAAAGACAACTTCATCAGTTTACTCATATTGATTATCTTAATAAATGCATTACCTCCTTTCTACTCAACTTTATTTCCCCCTTTAACAAGTTAATGTCTGGTGGCTGAGGAATGTCACCAAGGTAGGATACTTACACTTCTGTGAATCGATGTATTCAGCAGCATTAATGAGTTGCCTGCCTCTTCCCTGAAGATGTGCTGTGGAAACCTGTTAAGCCCATTCAGTTGCATGTTACTTGTCTATCCAGCATTGCATTTGATAGTCAAATGTCCATTTTGACTTTCAGAACATACTTTTGCTGTCAAACTTGTACTCTGATCCACATTCAGTTGCCCATCCCTTTGGATTGTCAGTTAAAGGCAGTGTTCACATTTGCTGTGTGAAGTGCAATGATACTTCCCGGAGGAGAATTTCATGTGCATCGAGAATAAAGAAGCAAACCGGAAAGCTAGTAGGACGATGCAGTGCTGACCTCAAAGTTTCACCAACCAAGTCTTTAAAATTATGTCCTAGAAGCTTCTGTTAGGACATAGTTAAAACCTGATTCGGGAGATATCAGCTGCTCGAAAAGTCCTGATAGAAATTTGGTGCTAACAACAACAACAACAACAGAACCTCTTGTTTCAAAACTGATTAATTGTCGTGTCTTATAAAAACTGATTTATTTCATACTTTTTATACCAAGCATTACCATTATGAAGCTCTCTTCCTAACTGAGATTAATGTTTCTGAGCAAAGCAGTGGTTTGGAGAGCTGCATTCATTTTAAGTGCTGTTGTAATCAATTTCAGATACAGCATTCCACAATGGATCGGTTTGCATCCAAACCTGCCTTATTATGGAGAATTAACTTGTTGGTGATGGATTGTAATACTTCTACATCTTGAGAAGTCATTTGTTTCCAAACAAGTGTGATGGCTTGTGAGAGTTTCAAAATATTGCTTCTTGTAATTAAAACAGCCTTGTTGGGGACTCAATTTGAACTTCCTCTAAGCATTATCCGCAGCACGAAGAATCAATTCATTAATATATTTTCAACTGAAATGGCCTTTTTTTCTCCCTAAGATCTATGTGCCTCAAGGTTTGTTTTCTCGCTCTTCTAAGGGTTTTTATGGTCCTTTGAGTCATAATTGGTAAACATATACCTACGTGTTTTCCTATTGTGTTTGTATCAGTGGTCTAGTTGAGTTTTTCAAGGATTTCTTAGACTTACAGCTCTATGTCTTGTGTATGTATTACAGCTTTATTTCACAAGGTGGTAGGTGTAACCCTAACAATGAAAAAGAATGCACTCGAGCCAATTCATTATCCTCTTCGGAAATCTCCAAAGATGGTGAATGCTGTGGTGCCTCCTGTGATGTTTGCATGTGTTTCTTAGTTGTGTCCAGTGGGCCTCAGTGTTGTCAGCTCCCTAACCTCTACCGAGAGACCATGCCTGTTAGAATTTCCCTTGGCTTTGGTCCATATTGCATTGCTTCCTGTGACACATGCTTACAGTCTCCACAAAATAAAATATTAAGAGTGTAGAATATAAGAGTAATATAGGTAATGACATCCTGCTGTAGCTATAGTGTAGGGGATTTTTAAATAAAGATGTGACTGTTTTAGAGATCATATAAAGTCCCAGGGTGATGCTGTTCTTTGACTGCAGGATAACAAAACTTGGTAGAATATGTGCTTATTATATTTTAATTGTCTTCTCTGTAATGACAGATTACTTACATGGACTTAGTGTTTCTCTGGTTAAAAACATTCATTTAAAACAGTTTTAAAGGCTAAAATAATGCAACTTAAAATGCCATTTTCAAAGCATTATTTCAGCCAACCTTTAGAAT